AGTAACCTGAAGAAAGGCACAATTAAAGGAGAAAATAGAAACAGCACAAACTATAAAATGAAGGTTTTTGATGAAACTAATAGAAAAAATTCTAGCTAGTATTTTTGAGAATATTTTTGAGCAAGTTTTCTATGCTTTTTAAATTTTTAGATGTAATAAATAAATTCTGAGCCCACAAAAACACCCACATTGAAAGAGCTCAAGCCCAGGGGAAAAGCATCAATTGCATGGCAGGTTAGCTTCAGACACAGTAGGCTAAGTATTCAGAAAGTCTGACAACAACCTACTCTAGGGGAAGAAGAGTGAGAACATGAATTATTTACGTGAACAGTGATAATCCCAAAGTTTGTTTAAATATACATGGAATCAAGTTTTGATGATCTCTGGGTAGATTATGGCGCAATAACAATGTAGTTCTTGAAGGTAACCCTTTTCTTTTCATGCTAATGACCATTATTTTACACCTTAACATCATTTTTCAAAGATAAATATACTAGAAAGAATATTTTCTTACGTTTTTAGTGGAAATTTTAAAGTACTGTTTTGTTTTTGTCTATTACTACTTCCCACTGTTCTCACATAACGTAGAACCGAGTATTTAACATTCAGAATCAAATCAGATGCATGTTGTTGGGGGTTAGAACTAGATGATCTTTAAGGTCCCCTTCCAACCCAAACCATTCTACGATTCCATGTAATGAGTGGTGGGCCACCTTAAATTATAAAACATATTCACAATATTTTATAGACAGCAGAACACTTCTGGCCAAAAGAAAAGCCACTCATATTGACTTTGAGATGTTTCTGAACTGCCAAAATTTTGCAAAACCCAAATTCTGGTTTCTAATAGAACCCTATCTGAATTCCTGTCTTTTCTGCTTTCATCTTAAGGAACCTGAAAAAAACACATTTACTGGAGCAGTCAGATGACAGGTCCATCGCTATTTCTTGGGATTCTTCATCCGTGCAGTGAGAACTTCACTCCAAGAAATTTCTATTGGCAGTTTAGATGTATGTTGTAATTAAAGATGATGATGACCTAATTCTGTGGCTCAGGAGTTAAGTAACTCATAAGGCAGGAAAACAAGTTTTGCATAAAATTATTATGTTATAAATGCAAAGCTGATGGTAGAAAGCATTTTGAAAGCAGGTTCTTTGAACTACAAATTTTTATTATTTGCAAAGATTAATATTGATCTTGAGCAGTACACCTCCTTCTAATGTTAATGATTCCATTTCATTCACTTATAAAATTTTGATGATTAGCTAGATATGCATTTATAACATCTGCAGTTGGAAAACTCTTTTTAATTAGGCTATCTGGTATTCTCCGTAAGGAAAACCATGGCATTCTTCTACATTTTAAGTGCCCTATTTAGTCTCGTATGGTAGCAAAATCTCACGAGTAACTGCTAGGATGATTTTCATAGTAACTATGTGTTGCAGTTTTAACAGAACTAAATATTTAAGTATTTCTCAAAAAACCCCAGAAATAACAATAGATAAAGCAGAGTTGGATAGAACTAAGTATTTGGGAAAATGCACTTGTGGCCAAAAAACAACCAACCATAAAATTCAGTTATATTTCCCTGCTTGTGGTACCAACTTAAGCAACAACTTAATTATTTGATAAATATTTTTAGATTTTTTTTTAAAAAAGCTTTATTTTCTGCCAAAAGAAAAAAAAAACCCAATAGGGTATTACAAAATAATGATTTTTCTTATTTCACATGTAAAAGTAATTGGCATTTCCTTTCATCAGCTCTGATACTGAAAAAAAATGAAAGGAATAGGAAGAAAAGTTGCTGTGTCACTGCTGCAACACAGGAACTGCCATAACCGATCAGCCCCCTCAGTGGTCCTCCTAGCAGTTTTGTCTCAGAAGAGTTTGGTATTGCCTAAAGCCAAAGTGCTGCAGAACTTTCCCTCGTTATAACAACCAGCTGAAGGATGCTTTGCTTCTGCTACGCAGCGCTCTGCAGCTTTTGTAAAACCATTATATTTCAAGGTATCGCCAGTCTTACAAAGAGATTTGATTCATCATTTGATTCAACTCATTATCTTCTTGGCGATTTATATGGTGCTTGTGTAATTTGAAATAAAAAAAAAAAATCAGCCAAATTTGTGTTTCCCAGTCATTTAGATGCTTTTGGAATAGCAGCCATTACCTCAGCCTAAAATCTGTTAATAAAAAAATTAATCCCTAAGTGCATAAGTTTAATAGTGTCTTGTAGTAGCTAGGTTCACCAGGTTAACTAAGCATGGAATAAACAAAAATTTCCTTCCTACCAGTATTACGTGTTCCACTCCAGCTTAACGTTCCCTGATCTAGTTTAACAGCAGAAGGGGGAAAAAAATAGAAAAGAGATACCTCTCTACGTCGTGTACTATTTTATACACTCTCTCCATTGCTCATTCTTTGCTAGTTTAATCTTGTAAGTATACCATTTTTTCCAGGATATGTAAATGTTTCATTACTTTTTCTGGACTCCTTATGATTTTGTAGTACCCTTGGATGCTATGCAAGATAAAAAGCAACATATTTGCTTGGTTTTGGACTGTTACTGCATATTTTATTCATTATGTCTTTTGAATATCTGTATGCACTATCTAGACTACTACAAAATTCCAACTAATTATTAAATACACAGTCAATTTAATTCAAAGTGCCAGTAGAATTGAAGAAAATAATATTTTGATGAAATATTACAATCTGTTACTAAAAAAAAATGCTACTCATAATACAAAAAGTACTGTTAGAAAAATATGTCAACCATAGACACTCCAGAAAATATAAGTGATCAAAACTATTCTAATGTTACTCCTCACAAAGATGGATAATAAACAGTGGTTGTAAATGTTAGCAACATTAGTTAGCGCACATAAAAGTATTTTGATCCAGAAAAATCAACTAGATTCCTACTAGATTAAAACAGAAAAAAGATGTGGATAAAAATGATCGAGTCTTTTAGGACAATAAGTATCTAGGCATTTCTCTCTTCTAATCAGGGTATGAGTGAAACTGGGTGAGTATAGCAACATATTCCTTCTGGGATACCTTCCTTGCCGCCAGCAATGTAGACAACAGATGAAAGAAAACTTTATGCTCTCCGGTAATGTAATTTTTCCTGTATTTTCTCCACTCTACCTTCATAAGACTATCTGGAAGTAATGCACCCTTGTCTTTCTTGTACAATGGTGTGGCTATGAGTTTCTCAGCTACAAGGAGCTTAAAGATACTTCAGATTAATTATTACTAGCCAGTGTAGTGATTAATTTGATTAATTCTATTTTCAAAGTATAGTTAGAAACAAAACACTTAGTAATTCGATTTATAGCAGTTGGCTCCAACAAGACAGCTGACTTCAGCAAGACTGCCAAGTGAGTAATCTGTACTCAATAATTTCTCAATACTACCTCTCTCTATTCACCTATTAAAACCAAAAGCTATGCAAAAAAGGTTAATAAAAGTAGCTTTGAGTGTCTTAATCTTTAACATTGCAATATGTATTATGCAGCAAAGATTAGATAATCATCTGAAAAGAAGAAAAAATTGTAACTAAGCAACACCACATGCATTTTGAGTCTCACAAATCAAAAGCAAAATACTAGATTCCTGTTTAGAAAAGTACATGGAAAAAAGTCAAGTCATTTGAAAAAAACCTAAACAAAAGTCACTTTTAAAGTATTTATGTTAGTATCATTTGACTAAACTAATATCTGTGGAAAGTACACTTAAGAAGGATACAAACATTGTGGAATAAAACAGTTTCTTAAATTCATAGAATCATAGAGTCATAGAATGGTTTGGGTTGGAAGGGACCTCAAAGATCATCTAGTTCCAACCCCCCTGCCATGGGCAGGGACACCCTCCACTACACCAGGTTGCCCAAAGCCTCATCCAACCTGGCCTTGAACACTGCCAGGGATGGGGCATCTACAACTGCTCTGGGCAACCTGTTCCAGTGCCTCACCACCCTCTGAGTGAAAAATTTCTTCCTTATATCTGATCTAAATTTCCCCTGTTTCAGTTTAAAGCCATTGCCCCTTGTCCTATCACTACACGCCCTTGGAAAAAGTCCCTCTCCAGCTTTCCTGTAGGCCCCCTTTAAGTACTGGAAGGCTGCAATAAGATCACCCGGAGCCTTCTCTTCTCCAGGCTGAACATATTAAGACAGAACTAAGGGACTGACCTAATTTCTATTAGATTTTTTTTTTTTTTTGCTTACAAAGTATCCCATGTTTTAAGACAATCATCAGTCTTACTTCACGGAAGGGGAACATAAGCCATGCAAAGTTTCTAATGTCTGTCTGGAGAAGTGAGAGTCGTTTGGCCTGCTTTGCACATAGGAGTATCTCTAAAGATCTAAAAAAAATAAAACAAAAATCAAACCCCTGTTTGCAAACCATCAGCAACTTTTAAACAGCAACATCCATTGACAGGTAAGCACATCAATGCAGCTTAGATGCAGCATATCTCATGGTCTGGTAGCAAGACTTTATAATCACATTGTATATCTTTAATTAGGATATTATTACATGGAGTGAAAAACTCTCAAGAGAAAAGCATCACATCTTTTTCCTAAGCAACCTGATAAGGAAATTTCCTGGCAGAAAATCTGAAGAATCTGCAGGCAGTGCACATTCCAAAAATGACAGTCAAGTGCCCAAAAGTATGTCAGGTTTTGACAAATCCTTGTTTTCTTGAGCTATTATTTATATATCTTTATATATATTTGTAGCTGTGAGAGATACTTCTGTCAACCTTGGAGATTTGCCATTCATTACAGTGATGCAAGAGTAAGTGGAATGTTTGATTGCCACATTATGAAACAGCTGATTCCACACAAGACAAATGTTAGATGTTTGCTGAAAATCTACCTGCTTGCCTACACATAAGAAATTTTATCAAAAAAGGATGGAAAATTCATACAGTCCACCTGGCACACAAAGGACATACTTCACCACTACTTACGGAATCCTTTTCCTCAAATTATTACCTTATGTAGTGTTGGAGAACCTTCCTCTGTTTCTGTTGGTCCTTCAGGTAGGAGTGGAGCAGAATCTGGTACTGATCCTGAAGGTTGTTCTTCATATTCTTCTGAAAACAGGACCCAAAATTCACCATGATGAGAGCCATGAAAGAATTATGGAAGTGTCTCTTTTACATGAACAACCATGACATGTCATCTACCTGGACTTGTGCAAAGCTTTTGAACTGAAACAGGTGAAAAATGTTTGAAGTCAAACTTCGTATGAGAATTTATCAAAATTTGCCCATTAACTTCTATTTATGTTTGTAAGTTTAGATATAAGTGTATAGGTAATTACATAAAATATAAAGAATTAAACATTTGCACGATTAGGAATCGAGTCCATACTGACAGCAAGGAAACAGATACTTAACAGATGTATCATATGCACCTCATTTGGTTCAACAGTAAGATGGTCAACAACTGAAATAAATTATATATCAAGGTTTCTTTTGCACAGTTGGACAACTGCCTCAAAAGTTTTGGGTTTTATTTGGGCTTTACTTTTTTCTATTTTATTTTATTTTTTTTTTAATAACAACAGGCCATCACTGAAGACTCTTCCTACACACTGCTCTCTGGCCTATTTTGGAAGGAAGAAAGGAAGGAGGAAACACACAGGAGGTGCAAGGGGAGGACAAAGGAGAAGGGCAGTAGTTAAGTTACCTTTAATTACCATCATCAAGTTAGCACAGTGTTATGTCCAAGTTTTTTTTAGGGAAGAGGCATAAATACTAGACTTCATTTGAAAGATGGAGGAAGTAGAAAACGGGGGAAACATCTTGAGAAATGTTGGGTTAAAAGATTTCTAAACACCCGTATAACTGATAGTTTGATAGTTTAGGCAGGGAAATTAATTTCTTGTAGCATGCGACCACGCACTCTGTCCATAAACTGAATACTAACAACTGTCAGGACACTGAACATCCTTACATCAGTTGACTCAGTAGGATGCTTCCTGTATTAATTTGTTCATAGTAATTTCAATTTGTCTGTATTAGTTTAATCAAAGCTGTTTTAATAACAAGGACTTGGTAGCAAGTTCAATGCTCAGATATGAGATACAACCACTACTGTTCTTTTAAACTTCATACTGAAATCCACTTATTTGGTAACTAAGTGTTGTCCATTAGAGCAGGGGGGGAAATCAAGAGTTTTTAGGGGGGAAAATCAAGAGTACAAAAGTAACTCGTTAGATTTAATAGAGATTGTCTAAGAAAAACCTAAGATGTCTGTGAGATGCTTTGATGTGTCTTAAAATATTGCCAAGGTGGGACTGAACGAAGTGACTATATGTAAGAAGAGATGAGGAATCAACCCAGTTAACAGATAATTAAGCCAGTACTATATAAACTGGAATGTTTAACTAAGTGCCAATGCTTTCTTAAGCCAGGTATATCAACTTGTTAAGCAGTTATCTAACTTCATACAATTTCTACATCACAATCAGTCACCATTATGCCATCTGTGTACTACATAAATTCATATCTGCAGAACAACAAGCAGCATGGTAAAATCTTGGACCATCAGTTAAACCCACATCGGTATACCAGGAAGACAGCAGTAAACTTACTTTCACCAGCCACATAATTAGCTGGAAAATAGCCTTGCTGTCCATTTGCTAGGCTGCCAAACCACCAGTTATCATTATCTTTGTATAACACTTGGATAATGTCACTGCGATGGATGGTTAGCTCATCTGATCGATGCGCTGTGTAGTCATAAAGAGCCACTACCTAAAAGAGAGATAAGAGCACCACAGCTTTATCACAACCATGCCACAGAGAAAAAAGCGCAACATTCACTTCCTCTTGCAGAAAAGCAGCTGAAACCAAAGCTGCACTTTGGTAAAAGCTGAGGCTGTCTCAAGTTTTGCTAATGGGATCAGGGGTGGTGGGAAAGCAGCAGGAGAGGCAAGATAAAGGACTGTGGGATTGTAGAAATGGTTAAGAACATTCAATTCACTAAGATTAGCTTCAAAACAGCAGCTGTTAGTTTTATAAGCAATTTACTTGTGAAGCAAAAGAAAAAAAAAACGCTTCATACATTCGCTTTCTCAGAATTGTTACACCACCTTCAGATCCCGTTCTGTGTATGCTCATGAAGCATATGTGTTCAAATAAATACTTCAACAGTTTGACAGTTTTACTGAAGGAAAAATTTAGTACAAAAAATGTCACTGCAAAGTTTTGCTTTGATCACTCCACTTTTTCTTTTTCTTTTTTTTTTAGAATTAAGGATTTGCATATAGAATTTTATAAATATCTGCCAAAAATACATTTATATTCCATTTTGCATAGTAAATCCATTTCCCAGCGAAACATAGTGCATCTATACTTTTCTGGAGAAAAGTACTAGTAGTGGTCAGCACCATCCATACTACAAAAAACACACATCAGAAGCCTTTTTTTTTTTTACACTGAATATGAAAATATGACGTATAATTTCTTATTTATTTCCTATGTCTATGAACAAAAATCTGTCCTGATGAATTCAGAGCAGAAAAGACTGAAAAGAAAACAAGTGAACTGAAAGAATAGGGAATTGCTCACTTCCCTCATAACTGAAGAGCAAAATTATGACCTATTTTACACAAAGAACACTGCTTCCCTAGATATAATCTTCACCTCAGATTCCTCTACGAAATTGTAAGTAAAGAGGTCAGAAACAGGGATCATTAGGAGTGATAGGAGGTTACAGAGGATTGAAGGAGACAGCAAAGTTATTATGAAGATAGGGGTTTGGAGAAAAAATTTCCTTTTGTTATTACTCATGCATGCATTTAAATCCTAAGACGGCTGAACTGCACAGTGCTTTTTATATTTGTATTTCTATTTTGAGTAAGATCACCTGAGAGTTATACGTACAAAAACAGAGTCAATGTCACTTGTGTTTTCATACTTCTGTGCCACCAATTAAACTGATTAAATCAGTTATGAATGGAAAAAGATGGAAATGTTTCTACCATTGTAAATTCTATGTGGTAATTTGTGAGCTGGTCAGCATCAAAGAATTAGTATCAGCAGGGTTCTCAGCAGACAGGAAATTTATCTAAATACGCATTTGGTAATCCAGAACTTAGAGAAGCTAAACAATAAAATATTATCCTTTATCATAACTCTCCTCCCTGCATTAGGAAAGCTAATGCAGTAATTACAGGTGATGCTGACAATACAGAAATATGAACTAGAGAAGAAAATCAAACTAAAACACACTAATGAGCACCACGGAGAACCAGTACAGAAGTGGAAGCTCGCATGATCGTGTCCAGTAAGGGGTGCTCTAACAATGACCACTTCAGTTAAGTGGCACCGGTTTCCTTAGCAATGGTACTATGAAAATCATGAGGTCACTTAAGGTAAAAAAAAAAGAGAAAAAAAAAAGGAATTTAACACTAATTACTTGGCAGCATGAAAAACAATGAAAGGCAGAGCAACAAACACTTCTTTTCGCAGTGTCTTTGGTAAGATAGTTCTAGTGTAAATGTTTTTGGGTTTTGGAAAAAATTACAAAAATTCAGTAACATGGAAACACTGCCAACAAATAGTTCAAACCAATCAACCAAGTCCCACTGACTGTCTCTCAGAAAAAAACCAACACAAAACAACGCACTGTGTCCTGTAATATAACTGGTTTAGCAAGTCTGACAATTTAAACAAAACATGGAAATTGCCATTATATCCTCTAGAGACATATGATCAGAAAATGACCATAAGGGGATACAAGAAACACACCTCAGGACCAAAGAAGAATGTAAAACACTCACAATTATGCCCAAAGCAACGGAATTTCTTCTGATGTGACATTCAGACTTGTTAAGTTTTGTATAGGTCCAAGTTCAAGCAGAAAAAAAAAAAAATCTGTATTGATCAAGATTTTATAAAATCATTTTTCAAGAGCAATATAAAAACAGCAGTAATGTGGTTATGCTAGTTATGAACATGTTTGTATGAATAACAAAATCTAGGGTAGCAAGAGAAAAAAAAAATCCTTGGGATCATGCTAAAAAAAAAAGAATGCACAGATAGAGTATAATGGTATAGAAGATACTGCAAAAAATTACATAATACTTACTGTCTCTTGCCCGAGTGGACAACTGCTTCCTCCTCTCACCCCCAGTGCATTCAGGCAGCCATCATTCTAGAAGAAATTATTTTAAAACTTTAATATGAAGTATTTAGATAAACTATCATTTCGAGTATTTTCATGGCTACTGCAAAACAGTAAGAATTATCTGTAATAAAATGCTTTTTTAAAAAAAAAGAAAAAGCAGAAGTGATGTTAAGCAACATTGGGTAATAGTGGCTATGTAGATATTTAGAAAAAGATATTAAATGTTTCAAGCACATATACTACACTAAAGACAACATGGGGAAAGACAGCAGATTGATGACTATGCAGTGTAAGCTTGGTTGCTTTGCAAACACTACAGTAGATATTCAAGAAGTTGTTGCAGCCAAATTTACCTCTGAACCAGTATGCAAAAGATGTCACTTTCATATAATAGAGAATTTCAGGTTGATCTTAATATCCAGTATTTTCCATTTAATTCTCAATGTTCTATCTTTACCACTTAATCTTCAGACTTCCAACAAAGTCAAAGGAATAGTGCGCATATAATGCAATAATTAGGACGTGCCCACAAAATTTGAATTCTGTCAAATAATAGAATTCTTCAGTTGAAAGGAGATTTAAAACAGAAAAATTAGGAAAATAAGCAGCGGAACAGCAAATTAGAACAAAGGAAGATATGGAAGTCCTTTGCTGGTGTTACTTAATTTTTTTTCAATGGCCTATTTTCACAAAGAGGAAACCAGTTTCCTCTAGATTTTGTGTGCGTCAAAAGATACAAACTACAATACAGAACAGAAATATTACAAAGCAATTAAAATATTTTGGAAGAGAAGAATCAAATGTGAGCTTTGTGGAGTAAACAACGTTTCCACCCATAACAGATTGTACTACTTTATAAACAACGTTTTAAGTTTGAGAATTTCTATCCAACATACTTCACCTTTTTCATTCATTACAGTCCCTCCTTTAACTGTCTTTTGTATGAACTTCTTTCTCTTCTCTTGCTTTTTAAAACATGTATCTAAAACGTATTGCTCCTTTTATTTTCTGGGTTTTTTCTTAGGGTGATCCAAAGAACATCATTACTGCAATCCATAGCAGAATAAATAGCATTCTCTAGAAGAAAGATTCTTGCCCTCAATGTTGTTTTCCTAACTTAGCTAGGCTTATCCTATATGGAAATCACTGACGATCCGGAAGAGAAAGGTTCCATCCAGTCCCCAGATTGTTTCAGTACTGCCACAGTAGTTACAGACACATGCAGTACATACATATGAACTCAGCACAAAAGCAAGCAGTTGCACTGTGTTCTTACCATCTACCAGAACATCTAAGCCTACCACCTCAAGACTTCTGAGTAATTATGTACATATGCAGAGGAAAAAAAAACAAAACAAACCAACAGACGTGTAACTGCCTGATTGGATAAACAAATTTTGAACAAAGACCAGTGGAGCTGCAGTTCAGAGTACGTGGCTTGTTCAGTGGTCTCCTGGTAGTTAGCACTGCCTCACAGGTTTCATGTAATTCTCATTTTAGGTTTCAGCCAATTCTCATTTTCCGTTCTCAAGGTTAAGAGAACCGTGCAGGCAATGTGCTTAGCCTGTGGGATGGGAGTGCCTCCTGTTGCTCAAAAATGATTCACCACAATTATTAGCAGTAATATTTAGGTATCCAGTTCAGGTACTCATATTGCCCCATTATTGTGTTTCAGTCTCTCTCTTTTTAATAAAGTATTTATGCACTCTCAAACACTCAAAGTAAGAAGAGCTTGAAGAGAGCGAGCTATTTGGAAATAACAAGCTAAAATCCATGAGTCATCCTGAGACTATGTTGAATGTTCTCAGACACTGAGTTAAACTTCTAAGGCAACAAGGATCCAAAGAGTTTCCTCTTAAAGAGATACTCGGAGTATGCCACGGGCTGCACGCACAGCCTACCTCCAGCGGGACACGAACGCAGCTACTGCAAGGCAGCAGAGCTGCCTCTGGCGTGCCGTGCCACTTCCCAAATAGTGCCAACCACCAGTCACACTGCAAGTAACACACAGCAAAAACTACTGCCCTTTCAGTTTAGAATCATTAGTTTTTTTATGTTGCGTCACGAGATTAAGCCACATTTTCAGGATTCCAAAAAAGCGACAGACATACTGAAGTGGATGAATATATTGTTCTCGGGACAATATTAACCTCTCCCTTTTTTAATGCAAGATCCTTTTCTTGCATTGGAACAGACGTGGGGCTATAGTTATGTTCTGAGGAGTTGGTCTTTTTGGGAGGCAGACCATCTGTGAGAAACAGGAACAAAATGCTTGCTGAAAAAGCCTGCCATGTCACATTGATTTTGGTTGAACAAAGCTGTTAGAAGCTTTCAGCGTAAGGAACATCCTCAGAAGAAACACAGATCCAGCAGTTGATGCACAGTTCTAGACCATGGAATATCACACTCGTTATCCATGACAAACCCAGTTAGACAGCCTTGACATTTTTAACACAAAAACTAACAAAAAAATGTTTTAAGACACTAATAGAAAAGACAGCATTGCAGGTAGGAGTAAACTCATAAATAAGTTGCTGTATCGTGTCGCCGATTCCTGATAATAGCACTAATTAAAATGTTTATGGCTTCCTTTTAATTGGGCAGTTTCGGTGATTGTGGTATT